GCCAGCGCATCGCACTTTGGGGCTATCACTCTCTGTGCCCCCAAATTGCCTCGTGTTTTTTTGTGTGTGAGAATCAAAGGGATTATCATACATAAAGCATTTAGAACAGCATATGGTAAGAACTATATAAACATTTCACTGTTATTAGAAACTGGATTAAATGAAACACATTTGTCTCTAATAGATACAGCTTTTCGTTTATTTGTTTGTATGGGGTTATATAATCTCAGAAAAGTAGATTTCAATCATTGAGTTTAGTCCCCTCCTCTGTACCTTTATTATGGTCTTTCAAACATCCTTTATTGGAATTACAGCATCTGATGTTTCTAAAATAATCATGTTAATCTCCTGGTACCAATGCAATCTGTACTACTGAATACAAAAATATTGAAGTCACAAAACCAGAGCTATCAGCTGGTAACAGCTGTTGACATTGCTAGGAAATAAGATGCAGCCAGTTGGAGCTGGGGGTTATCAATGGGTTAGAATCAATGGGTTAAAAATTTTTAAAAATAGCATTATTCTGTATCATTTTATGTTTTTTTTAAAAGATTTAACATCCTATGAGTGGTAGGTCTTCCAATAAAAATTAATTTTATAGTTTGTCTGCTTCTACAATTCTAGCTGTGACACCGCTTTTCAGCTCCTATCTTGCCTTTAAAATAAGAGCTTTGTCCCCACCTTCCATGCAGAGTCAACCACTGTGCTTTTGAGAATCTTTATATACATGAATTTTATTGGAAACCTTAATAAAAGATACCCATCTTATGAAATATTGACTTCAGAGTCTGTCCCATTTGGTTCTTTAATGCTTTACAGAGAGTGCTATGTCCTTTCTCCCCAGCACTCAATAATCATTGATAGCAGCAACAGTGTGACATGGGAAGAAAAATTGTGCTTGCAAAAGGCATTACTGATATGCTTCTCAGAGCCTATTACGATGCCATGGCCTTAACAACACTGTACTTTGTCACAGGAAGATGTGAGTTACATGGGCCCACTTTGATGGCCATAAAAGTAGAAGCTTGACGAATGCAGTACTTCTCGATTGCATTTTATCCTGTGTGAGTTAAAGCACAGTTGTTCCATATCCATCAAACTGGCATATAAAACTGAACAGAAAGAACTATTACTTATCCCTTATGCTTGAACCTGAAAAGTAAAAGCAACATTTATTAAGTGCCTACCACGTGCTAACTTTTTTTACAACGTGATTCTCAGAACAACCCTTTAAGAAAACTGTTCGTTATACCTATTTTATTGAAAAGTTTAAATAACTTACCCAAGATTATGCATAAAAGGCCGTTGCACTCGTGACTCTCCTGAAATCCACATCAGTGAAGTCTTGGCCACCTCCTAAAATTAGGCATCCATGGGAAATGCTCCCTTCATGCTCGATATATACTTTAATGATAGCACCCAGTCAAATCAACTTGTAATTGTTTGAATTATCCCCTCCCCTCCTTCCTGCCCATAGTTGATTGATCCAGGGATCTTTAGCTGACTCAACTGCCAATAAATCCCTTCCCTAGAAATTGCAATTGGCGTTCATTTGCCAGGCAGAAATCTTTACAATCTTTAATGTATTATATTATGCCCACAAAATAATATATATAACATATACGATGACTATATGTCATAGTTATAACTGGAACACCAACATACTGAGAACTCAATGTGAGCAGTAGGACATCGTCCCCTCCTTAGGATCTGCCTGTGTGGGTCACCCTATCCCACCCTCCATTCCAGAGTTAACCATTTTCCTGAACATTGTGCTTAATGTTCCCTTCTATTTTGAAGAATTGTTTTCATGTTGACATATTTATAAGGAGTATATGGGTTAGTCTTATACATTTGTAAATGTTCAATAATATTCATTGAATAAATGGATACTCCAGGTCTTTATCGGCCTTTTCTTCACGTTTGTCTGCATAGTTTTGCGCAAGCAAGAAAAATTCCTTTTAATAAACTTCTCAGCTCATAGGAGCTAGGAGCATAACCCCTTAGCTAGTTACTTAAGTTACTGTGAATTAGCCTTGGTACTTCCCTTTCCCCGCCACCACTTCTGTCATATCCTCCAGTCCTGCCCCGCAACATGCCGTGCCAGCTGTGACCACTACTCTTCATCTCCACTGTCACCACCCTGTCCCACCCACCCTGCTCTCTTGCCTGGAAAAGCTGTCATGCCCCTTTTCTGCTTCCACTCTTGCTGCCTACAATCTGTCTTCCACATTGTAGCCAAAGTGAATTGTTTTCTCTCTTTTTTTTTTTTCCTTGTAAACATAGTCACATCATGTCCTTTTCCTGCCTAAAACACTTACATGGCTTCCCATTGCACTTACAATAAAACCCACCTTCCTCACCGTGGCCTGCAATTCTCTATGAGCCATGACCACTGGCTGACCTTGACTTAACCCCTACTTCTTACCTGCATGCTCAGGACACTTCTTTCATCTTGGTGACTTTTGTGCTTGCTGTTCCCTCTACCCCATCACTGTCCCCCAGCCCTGCATGGCTGGATCCTTCTGAAATGACAAGTGGCACCACCACACAGAGGCCATTTCTGACCACACCATCTGCATGAGCAGCTCTGTCTCCTTTCATTTTTATCACATTCAGCCTGTTGACCTGTTTATTGTCAGTGGAACTCCTCTTGTCATGTGTCCATGAGGACAGGAACCTTGATGGTGTTAGAAAAAAATTATTCTGACTCTTGTTTTTAAAAAGTAGTAATGAAGACATTTTACTCATGGCTATTGCAAGAGGAGAATTGCATTAAGGGAGAGAAATCTGGCTGAGCTCTACATACAACAAGGACAAGTGGGGGATTTATAGCCAATGAGCAGGATGAAGAGGGGGTCAGTGCATAGAAAATTACTAAGAGGGCACATCAAGGGCAGGGGGATTCTTGCTAAACTGATCTAAGAGGATTCTTACTAAAGATAGGCCAAGGACTTAGACATCAAAGGTAGGGGATGAAGAATAAACATCAAGGGGAGGGGACTCTATATAAACTGACTTAGCAAGGTTCTTGCTGTAACGGGGCTAATCAGGCCAAAGACAGGACGGGGGCCAAGGTCCAGACCTAGCTGAGAAGAGTCCTCCAAGGAGCCAGACTTAAGTTTGATCATGAAAGGAGTCTTTGTCAACTTCTTATTCTTTTTTGTATCTTTGAAGCAATACTATGCAATAGAAATCGAATGTGAGCTACAAATTCAAGAAAATGTAAATGTATGACATTTCTCATAACCACATTATGAATAGTGAAAACAAAAACAGATGAAATTATTTTAAGAATATATTTTATTTAATCAAATATATGCAAATATTATTTCAACATTTAATCAATATAAAAATTGTCAATAAGACATCCTTTTCTTGTACTAAATATCAGAATCCCAACAGTACTTTACACTCACAGTACATCTCAATTCAGACTAGTCACATTTCAGAGTTTCAAAAACTACATGCGGCTCATGGCAATTGTATTGGACAGTGCAGGTCCAAAGGCTAGAAGAGTGATTATACACAAGGTATATAATAAATGTTTATTGAATAAATGGATGAATGAATTAGTGAGTTGCTAATAAATCTATTAACAGAAATGGAAATTTTCTTCCCCCAAGTGTTGAGAATATGCTGTTGCCAAGTTCTGCTCTGGAATCATGTATCAACAAAGGATGTGTTGCTGGATTTGGGAAGGAATAAATATTTCAAATAATAAGAGAATACTGTCCAACATCTCAAATATTATTTAATTTTTCACTAATCCTTTTTTTTATAAATGTTGCAAGGGAAATAAAAATCATAGCTACAAGTTTTATCCCCAAAGGCATTTATGCAACTACAAAGTTTATTGGCCAATTTAGAAATTGTTTTCATCAATTAAAATGTTTTTTTTTTTAAGTATAAGACTACTGTTTTCTTATACTCTCTGTAATAGGATTATTTTATGTATCCAGTTTTCTTTTGTTTCTTTCAATTCATCATTGGCTTCTGTATTGAGTAGCTACAGGTGATGACATTTGGCGTTATTTATTTACTACAAAATGTCAGGCAGTAATAGCCGGATCTCTCAGGTAGGAACAATAAGATGCCTAGATCTACTGTGCACTGTGTGGCTTCAGAATATTTATTTTTTCCATTATTGTTCTTCCCTCATCCAATGTGTTAAGGACAAAGGAAGCCTTTTTTTTTTTTTTTTTTTTGCTATTTACCACACAGTCAGGATCTGTCTATCTAACTTTCTTTCTATTTACACTGTGAACATACTCAGCTGTAGAACTCATCTCCTCCAGTGCAGTCTATTGTGGTATTCCTGAAAGCTGTCATCTCTTAGTTAAAAACCAAATACCCATTAGAACACCCACAAGTCCAGAGGACTCTTGAAAACATTTATCTGATATTCTGTCTGTGTCTTCTGTCGTCTCATTTGACATTTTTACACATCCAGGTAAAGAAAGACAGGGATTAGAGAATTAAACCATACTTTAAAACAGGAAAGAGATTACATTTTAACTCCAGTTTTGTAAGAGCAAAAGAATGTATCTTTTTTTCTTTTTCCCCTCAGAATTAGATTTCACGATAGAGACATAAAAATGGTTTTGATTTAACTCTTGAATTTTTTTTGGCAAGCTTTATAAAGGCCAAATCAATGCTAAATCAGAGGTATTTACAACATCCACAAATTTAATCCAAAGTGGATACTTAAATGCTCATATAGATCTAAATGATATTCTCCCAGATGGTGAATTAATGCAATTTTAGCAGGAAGCAAAGTTGCACAAATATGCAGTATTGAGGATTCGCGCTGATTTAATGTATCTGTGCCCACCACAGCGCAGATGTTGATTATCATTTTAGTGCCAGTTGTCTTGATTTCTCTCTATACTACAAAGGGAAGAATGGGATTTGGGAGTTCAGTAAATTATGATTTATTTTGTTGCTAATGACTCGCTGGAAAATCTGTGAACTGTGTATTGATCATATTTCTTACACAGGGTTGGAAAGGTGACTTGGGTCCTCCTGGTCCACCTGGCCCAAAAGGAGAAAAGGTATTGTATTTACCCAGCAAAGCGCCAATCTTTGCTTAAGAAAACCCTGAGAACCTATGTAGTGGCTTCTTGTTGACAGCATTTATCTCCCAAAAGCATTTTAAAATTAACCAAAGGCTGTTATGTTAACAGCATCTGAACAAGAAAAGCCTTTTGGTTCATTTAATTAGTTTGAAGATACTAAATGCACAATTTCTAGTTGACATTAACTTGTATTTATAAGAGTTTCCTTTTCTCATCCTTGCTTAACAGCATTAGGTATCCAATCACCGAATTAGCAAATGTGTCCTGAATTGGGGAACTTTGCCAATAACACTGAGCTGCTATAGTAATGGTAAAGCAAGTGTCTTTTTGGGGGGAGAAGGCTAACTTTGTATCTTAGTCTTAGTCTAAATGTTCATTTCCTGACACTTTTTCTCATAGACTATTTCATAATGACATATTGACAGTGACCTTGAAAAGAGAATTAAGTAACACTGAAAGCAAGATTTATTTTGAGTAAGGTCATTGGGTGACCCAATTTGATGAAAATTGTTATGTGTATGTGTTTTGCACTGTATTTTGTTCTCCATTCTGAGTACATTTAGAGATACTTGTCTATCTTTAATATTTATCCCTATGGTAAAGGTGATCTTGTAAATCAATCCTCAGTGACTGACTATGCTACGTCAATGTCTTGATTATTTTAATTCAATTGTTACAAAAAATAATGATTAAACAATGCTAAGTTTTAACTTTTGAGATGGCTATATTTGGTGAGAAAAAATAAAGTCCTAAACATACTCTCCACATGAGACTACAGCCTCCCAGTGCCTCATGCCACACAGCATATGGTCTCCGTAATATCCAGCTAACCAAGAACCAAGGCAAGGATACTTGGTCTTAATGACTGAGCATTCTTATGAAATAAATAGATTTCCCAAGACAATAAAACATGGAGGTGACATAGAAATTGGAAAATAGTGAACTTTCAGACAAACCATTTTTTAAAAAAGATTTTTATTAGTTTATCAACATATACACCTGGAAATTTGTATTTGCATAAATCAGCGAAGCAGTTTTAGTACTTAAAAATACATAAATATAGACAAAGCCTCTTACAGTTGATGGCAAATGCAATGCCAATTCAGCAGAGCTTGAGAAGAGGCTACGGGACTGCTTCTTGCAGCTGGGAGGCATGAAATGGGGTGATCCACTTATTATTTCTGCTGATCCTCATACTAACTTTGTCAGAAAAATTATCTCTCGCTGTGACACTTCCCAGCTGTTCCATTGGCAAGTAACCATATTTGAAAAGATATTCTTTCTAATTTTGTATTAGTAGACAAAAGAGCAAAAAATTAGATTATTTTAGCTTTCAAAACAAATCCTGCTGCTGCAAAAAAGCATGGGGTATACAAGGTGATTTTTATTATCATGAGAGATTTTTCTTTGCACCAAAACTTTTACCGAGATGAAATTCTATTTTCTGTCCTTCAAGACTTATCTATAGATATTGCTTCTATCCACTCATAAATGTATACATAATGTACAAAAAAGGACTAATTGGTAATTGTCACTTTTCTTTAATCTGTTTTAGGGAGATATGGGACCTCCAGGACCACCAGCTTTAACAGTAAGTGTTCTTGAAATCAAAATTCATCATTGAAGTTTGTCATTCTATTTATTATTCATACTACATCATGACTAAATCAGAATTTAAATCATAGAGCATTTTAAGAATTGAAAGTGATCTTATAGCATATCTAGTCAAATCTCCACATTTTAAAGATGGGGCATCTGCCCACAGCAGTGGAAGTATTTGATTAGAGGTCATATAGGTAGTTACTATAAAAATCTGGAATTAGCACCTACTCTGAGCAAATCTCTCTATCCTCCATATGGTTCATAATTTAGTCCCTTAAATGTTTGATTACACATTTTTGGTCCAAAATTGTTTTTAACTCTACTGTGGTTCAGAATGATTATATACTCTTAACATAACATTTAAAGTAAATGAAAGTAGAGACAGTTCTACTTACTCCAAAAACTGTAAAAGAAGAAAACAAAATATAATCCCCCGATGGGTAAAAATAGCCACCTATTTAAACTGATTGTTACATTCCCCCATTCCTGGCCAAGACCATTGTTGTTTCCCTGTGTAATTTGCTTCTAAGATTTGTAAATGATAAAATGGTGACACTTTTGTAACAGAATTATGATAAATATTTATAATATGTACATAATGAAAGTGTTATCAATTAAATGGCTTTTCATTTATTAAGTATATAATCATAAGTATATAATAACTTCTAATCATAAGTATATAATGCTTTTATATTTAGATACAAATTACTATTACAGATTTTCTTCATGGGCCATTAAAGATTCTTATTTAATTTAAAGATTTAATCTAAAAAAGACTCTAAGCTTAATAGAAAACAGGACAGTTTTCATTTTTAAAAGATCATTTGTAGCCTGAGGTCTCTTGAATTTTACTGTTGATATTGCCTATTGACATAAATTAAGCATTTAAATCATTAGGTTTCAAAGGCCTATCCTAATTATAGAAGGTCAGGCTTAAAGAAGTCTTCTAGTTTCCTGGATGAAATTCTTCCCATCAGGGCAGCACAGGAATCTCAAAGGCTGTGTGATTTTGATTTGATTTGATTTGATAAATTTATATTTATCTTTGTACTAGAAAATTCCATCATAAACAATACATTAATAGTGTCGTATATATATATATAAATAACCTTCACAACTCTCACATAAAGAACAAATATTTCTTGATAGGTAGAGAAGAAATCAAAGAAACCAAACAGGTGACTTACTTGGGAATAACTAAATTCAATTTGTAATGGAATTTTGTGCTTTAATTTCTTATTTTCAAGATGGAAAGAAAAACTATTTATTTGAGAGACAGTTTTACCTGCATATCACTCAAGTTTTTGTACTTTGTGGAATGTTTTTAAAAAATTCTTTGGCAATGATTAAGTCAAGCTACTCACTTTACTTAAGACACATGCCTGCTTTTCTTTAAGTTAAATGCTCATCTACTCCCCTTAGTTATCTGATTTCCTAATCATTTTCAACTTGTGTTGGAAGACCAATATGAAATCTCCATATATTATTTCACCCGAAATACAATATTGGCTCCTCAGTCAAAAAATTGTATTAGACTATAAGTATTTTGTGAATTTTTAATAGTAGCTGATTTCTTTCTCTCAAGAACCCCTTGAAGATGTCTCTTTGTACCATTCAGCTGGCATGCACTTAGAGAGTACAAGCCGATTTTTATACTTATCTAAAGATATGACAAGGCAAAAGCACTATGAAATGAAGTGTTTATTTCATAAAGTAAAATATTAGTATTATTTGGTTATTACTCTTATATATGCCTGCCATTACTTCCTTTATTAATGTAGGTTATCAACTGTTACATCTGAAATAGGGACAAACTGAAATGGATATCAACTAAACCATACACTAAATATTTAATTGAGCTTATAATGTAGATCGATACATTATTAATTGAAGTAATTAATACAGTCTTCAAGGAAGCCAAAATGACTGACTGCACTATGTTTTGATTAAATGGAACAGTGATTTATAGGAGTCAATAAACTTAGAAATTACTGACCAAGATTATGAAGAGTTTTGACTACATCTTGGCCATGCTGCAAGGTGAGACCCTTTCTAGAACACTTGTTGACACAGCCAAGGAAGCCAAGGACAAGGCAAAGGAGACAGCACTGGTAGCTACTGAGAAAGTCAAGGACCTAGCTAGCAATCTCTGTAGCCAACCCACCACTGCTGTAGTACAGTCTCAGCTCAGTTCCCTCTGTCCTCTCCCCATTGTACTTTATCATTAAAAATCAGCTTCCAGTCGAGTAGATTGTACACTCTTCTGGTAACAAGTACACTAAAAGCCCTGACTTCAGCATTATACAATCATCCATGTAGCAAAAATACATGTATACCCCCTAAATCTATTGAAAAAAAATTTTTTTAATCAACTTCCAACACTATCTACTGTCTGGGTGGCAGGTTCCGGGTGAGTGTCCAGTTTGGCACTGCAGTACAGGACTATGCACACCATTTATGTTTGAGTCAGGCCTGCTCATTCCTGCACTGGGCAGCTGAGGTGTGATGACTTGCCTAGGATAACAGACAGCATGCAGGTAAAATGCTAGATTGTAAGCTCCATGGAGGCAGGGCTCTTTATTTTGTTCTCTAATGTGTCTCAAGTACCTGGAACAATATTTAGCACATAGTAGGCACTCGATAAATATTTCTTGAATTCAATCAGAAAAAAAATTTCGGAATATACTGCCTGATTGCTCTCCGAAGTAGCCATATGAATTCTCAACTTATGAGAATTTTCATAGAAGCTATATCTTAATAATATTTAACATTCTTAGACATTTTGGTTTTTGGTACACATAGAGGCCAAAAACAGGTGCAAACACAAATGGGGCCTTGAAATGTGATTTAAAAAGCTTTATAAATCAGTGGGGGAAAGGACAGACCACTCAATACACTATATTGGGACAGTTGGCTTTCCATAAGGCAGAAAAATAAATTCCGTTCTCTTAATATTTATTTTTGTGTATTGATTTTTACTCACAACCCTGCTAACCTACCAAATTAGTTCTAATACTTTGTTTATTCTCTTATATTTACTATGTAGATGACTGTATTCTTCTCAAATTATGATGGTTTATCTCTTCCTTTCCAATATGTTTATTTCCTACTTCTTTTCCTGGTCTTATTACATAGGAATTATAGGGATTATAATTACTATCTTAGTCTTTTCCCTGACTGTAATGTGAAGGCTCTGAAATTCCATATTAAATAGGCCCCTCCCTTTTGTGATTTTGTTCGTTTTGTTGGGGGTGGGTGGGGTTGGGGATTAATCTTGAGTAAAGAAGATAGTGGTATTGCTCTTTTTCCATGGGAGTGCTCTAAAGTTTTACAGTAAGCATGGATTTGCTGTGTTTTGCTTGTTTTTTTTATCCAGTTAAAAAATTTTTTTCCCTTCCTTTCTAATTTTCCAAGAATTTTACCTGGATCAGGTGTTGAATTGTACAGTCTTTTTCTATATCTGTTGAAACAATTGTATATTCTTTCTTCAATACCTTAATGTGGTTAACTACCTTATATATTTTCTGACTGTGAACCATCCTTGCTGTTCTAGGATGAACTCTACTGGTAATGATGAATATTTATATGCTGTGGAATTCTGGCCTGACAGTTTCTTTTTGTTTTTCTGCATTGTTAAGGTTTTTCCATGTCTTCTGGCCTCCATTATTTCTGATGAGAAGTTTAACAGTCATTTTAATAATTGTTCCCTGCCTCTACGCAACATATCATTTTTCTTCTTTTTTTTCAATATTTTTCTTTTTATCATTGGTTTTTAGCACTTTGATAATGATGCATCTAGGTGTGTTTTTCCTTAAATTTGTCCTGATTAGCTTCTTGAATTTGCCGATTTATGTCTTTCAACTAATTTAGGGATTTTTTGCATCTTATTTTCATCAAATATGATTTCTGCTCCATTATCTCTCTCCTCCTTCTAGAATACCAATTACAGATATGTTAGATTTTTGATAATGTTCCACCTGTCTAAAAACTCAGTTCATTTTTTTTCCATCTGCTTCTCTCTTTTTGGGAATGGATCATTTCTAGTGAAATACTGTCAAACTTACTCATGCTTTGGTCATTTCCATTGAACTGTTAAGACCATTATGTAAATTTTTCATTGTAGATCCTATATTTTTAAGTTAGTGAAGTTAACTTTTATTAGTGTCTGTTTCTCTGCTGATATTTCCTATCTTTTCATTTACTGTGAACATGTTTTCCTTCCTGTCCTTGAGAATAGTTCTAATAGATGCTTTAAAATCTCTGGTAATCCTGTCATTTGAGCAATGTCAAGTTGGTCTCTGCTGATTTTCTTTTCTCATTAGAATGGGTTATGTCAAGTAATTTTTTGTTGTATTTTGGATACTGTAAATGATAAGTTATAGAAACTGTGAATTCTGTTGTTTTTTTTTTTCTGAAGAACATTAATATATTATTAATTAAATTATCCAGCAGTTAAATTGGCTGGACTCACACTGAAAACTGTTTCCCCTGTCGTTGGCAACAGCTGAAATCCAGTTTTGCTCTTTTAACCTAAGCTGATCTACTTGGTGTTTACACCATACGCATATGGTTAGAGGATCAACCAGAGATTTGGGCACAGTTTATGTGCAGAATTTGGGGCTTCCTTTCTTGTTTCAGGATTTTGCAAAAACCACCACCCCCCTTTCCTTTCCATGAATTGCATTTGCTCTGAATACGGTCTTCAGACTTTTTAATCCTGCAAGACTGCAGGCTTTCTGTTTAGCCATTCCATGACCCAGGCTTCAGCTTATCTTCTGACTAAACATCTTAAAAACAGGAAACTGATTGCATACTATTTAATTTTTCCAAATGTTTACTCCCTCCAGTATCTCCCTGCTTTTACTGAGTTTCTAGCATCTCCAGATAGTTGTTTTAATATTTAGTCTCAAGTTTATAGTTGTTATTGTGTTTATGCTGATATAAGGGAAACTACTAGACCATCCTGGAAGCCTATAATGTGACAATTTT